ATAATATTTTATTATATTATTAATTAAAATATTAATAATAATATCGAATCAGAACACTCTTTTTCAGATAAATTTAGACATTTTTATTTACAATTTTTCTTTTTATCTTATTTAGAATAAATAAAAAATTCAAATAATTAGCTCTAATTTTAATAAAAATTATTTAAAATTTTTAATAGCAACAGATAATCTAATTACAAATGGAAATTTTTTGATGAATTAATCAATTAAAGTATTATAAATTAACAATTAATTTTTTTAAACAGTTTTGAGGATAATTTGGTTCCATCCAATAAAATTATTGTAAATTTTTCATATGATTGGATATCTAACTTGTGTCTCATATTTCAGAAAAGTTGCATATAATATACAAAAGAAAAGATTTAAATTACATCCTAGACTTTTTTTTGAATCATATAAAACTCGAATTAAGGGATGTTTGCGCCTGGACTAGAAAATCCTTGGCTTGCGAGAGTCTAGATAATAGTAATACCGAAAGAAATCTCTTTCGAGCAAAAGGGGCATTCGAGCCTGAATCTAATGGAGCGCGTAACGATTCTTCAGGCGGGAGAAACGCGATGCCGGGGCTCTCGGCCAGGCTGTGCATTAACATATTAACAATGCTCCATTATGCTTCGAGTGTATAGTGTATACCTAGTCCCTCGCGTGGGCGCGTTATGGACCACTCTCAAGACTGCGAAACATATATTTGAAGCTTCAAAATATATATTCTGAATTCGTTAAGAAAACATTTCAGCGAATTTGATATGATTTTTATTAGAAAAAGATTTAGAAAATATTTTCGTTGCATATTTGAAAGTTTTTTTTAATACAATTGCAATAAATAATTTAGTTTATTAAATTTAATATATACCTATTAAATATATCTATATAGAAAATTCATCATAATCTATTAGACCGAACAGATTTTCCTCGAAATTGAATGAAGGACAAAGCCTCCTTGTCGATTCACCTCCTTGACGCTTAATACGTCGAAGAGAGAATATTTTCTCCTCTAATTCATAATTATTTATCATTATAAGATTATGAACGGCTTTTTAGTGAATCAGAACTGATAATTTAATTTTTTTTTTCTTGAAAGAGAATTTTTTGTACAATTTAATAGATTTTCGAGAACCGTATAGTATATGAAAATTGAATTTTTAAATCTAAGAACTCTCGAGCGCGTTCGTTAAAAATGTAACAAACAAAAGTAAAGACGGATGAGTATTAACCTAGGCTGACAAAAAAGTTTTCCCACACGCGTACGCATATCTCGTTAGAGTATATACACAATAATCCATCCATGGCACACGCTCATGTGTGCACGTGCACATCGGGCGCGGGGCATTAGCATAAAAATGGTTTAAAAATCCGTCGAGCGTGCCACCAACATTGGTTGGTTCTCAGGGAAGACTGAACCCGCCATTGGCTGGTTGCGTATCTCGAAAGAGAGGGAGGGCCGAAGGGAGCGGGCTCCAGAGAGGCTGCGAGAGCTAAAACGAGCGAAGGAGAGACTGAGAGAGAAACGTTTGGAGATGGAATGGGATTGTAAGGGAAATAAAGAGAGAGGCTAACAGAGAACAAGGATCGATTCTGCGAGGGTGTATCCGAAGAAGAGAGAAAGAGACAGAATAAAAGAGTGAGACAGGGTGATGAGGTGGGATATAGGAGGGTGCGAGAAGGCTGTATGTATTCAGACAAAGAAGCACAGCAACATTGGAGTACCATAGAGAGTTCGAGAGTGAGAGCGAGAGCGAGACAGAGAGAGAGAGAGAGAGAGAGAGAGAGAGAGAGAGAGAGAGCCTAGACGTCCAGCTAGACATCAGAAAGGTGCAAGAGAAACACATAATAAGATAAAGCGGGGTAGAACGATGAGAGAGAAAGAGCGAGAGAAGGGGAGAGGAATGCATCTGCATGGGGAAGCCGGTGTGAGCCCCGAAGAGAGCTGGAAGGTGAACTGGAGAGCGAGAGGGATGCCGATGGCGGAAGAGGGGGAGCAAGGGTGAAGGGTCGCGAGATACCAAAGCGAAGGGGGGAAACGGCGAGGAAAGGGGGAGAGAGAGAGAGAGAGAGCGAGAGAGAGAGAGAGAGAGCGAGAGAGAGAGAGAGAGAGCGAGAGAGAGAGAGAGAGAGAGAGAGAGAGAGAGAGAGAGAAAGCACCACGTGCTATGGGAACGGGAATGGCTCTCTCTTCTCTCGCCGGGCCTTTCGCGGCGGTTCAGTTCGAAACGGGCCATCAACGATGCCTACACACCATGGCCACACCACCATGACCATCGCGGCGGAGTGTGGTGGTCGTCCGTGGTCGCCATGAGGCGTCGTCGGTCAAGTCGA